TGCCGAATCCACCAAGTTCTTACAAGAAGAGCCGGTCATCCAAGCAGTCGACCATCGCAACAGGTTCTCCTCGTCGGTCCCTTGGAGCCTCAAGGAAACCTCTATATCCGCTGGACCTCGAACATGGATGTCCTGCAGGATCCCAGCTACTGAGGCTCTCGCTCCCCAGTAGCTTCCTTCTATCATCACTGCAACTCCTCGCCTGAATACCTCCAGTGGGATGTCTTGACATCTCAACTGTTCACCCTTCTCGAACTCGTCAATGAGCTTGGGGTCACGGATCAACTCTGGTCCTTCTCTTCCTCTCTCTCTGTCTCTTTCTTCGGCTTCCACTCTGGCCACCGGTCTCCTCCGAATCCTCCCTCCCCAAATGGGAGGCTCCTCTCTTCCAGCTCGACGGATGTCTGCTGCTGGCCTAGCTCTTGGTGGCATTGATGAGGTTGTAGGGTCAACGACCTCCTTGACCTCCCTGATAATGCCTTTCTCGCTTCTTCACCCCGTAGTAAGATGGGTCAAGCTTCCAACCTCTGGCGGGACCTTGCCAGTACCCTCCTGTCGGCCTCTGCTTGGCCTTGGCCACAGGCAACCTCTTGGGTGGCTTTGGCTTCGGCGGTGATCTCGAAGGTGTGCGAGGTGGTCGAACACTAGGCTTTGCTTTCTTTTCTTTCCCTGCTTCTGCGTCCTTCTTGGGCGCCTTCTTCTCAGCGTCTGATGACGTGGGTCTCGGACGTCTCCTGTCCCTCCTGCTGTGAGATCGATGGGAGCGACGCCTGCTTCGACTTCTCCTCGATGATCTCCTCCTGAGCGATCTCTCCCGCTCTTTTCTCTTCTCTGGCTTGGAGCCGCTGGAGTACTTACCTTCTTCCTCCGCGTCCACGTCCACAAGACCAAAGCGCGAGGTCCCCGAACTGGGAGCTCTCTCTTCTTTTGCTTTTACCCAGCTTTTGTCGACCTTCTCTTCACTTCTGGGCTCGTTCACGACCGCACTCCCCGACTTAGGAGTGGCTGTGCCCCCAGCGGCTTGCTGCTTCTCTGCCTCGGCGATCCGTTCCAGCTCCTCCTCCACGATGCTGGTCCAGATCCTCAAGTTCTGCAAGCCCCAACCTCTAGCACGAACCGGAAGAGCGTCGAGGGTTCGCCAGAAGCGATCGCGGGACCGGCAGAACGTGCAGATCAAGTCGGTATCCGTGCACTGGATCCGACAGAGGGCACAGGGATGCATTCCCTTTGAGCCCAAACGCTATTCAAAACCCGACTGTCCGTTTGGTCGTCTTAATATCCGGGGCCGGAAGTACATATTATACCTTCAATGGGATCAACCAAAGCAAAGAAATAAATATCAATGGGTCCAATGCCTCTGATCCAAGCGTCCAAAACTGGATGAATGCCAAAAGTGAGTACCTGTGAAGTGTATCTCAGTTGGAGATCGGAAGTGCAAGTGTTGCAAGCTCAAAAATCGTTCGATCGATGGCTTGTGCCAAAGATGGTCATAGGATGGCCAAAAGCCTTGTGCCGGACTCAGGAGCACATGCTCGCAAGCACATGGCAAATCAGCATAGCTAAGGCAGTCTGGTGCGAAGGTGGTCAAATCCTCGTTGCCAAATGGGCCACACAGCACCACCCGAACTGTTGGGATCACAAGCTCTCCGGGGGAGAGCAGAATTGGAATTTTGACCAGTGGATCGGCACTAAACGTATCAGCCATGGGGTAAACGGACAAAAGTGCGCAGCTCATGTTCATAGATGTAGTTCTGTATTGTTTTGCACTATTATGTACACCATTGTACACCTACATGGCAGACCCCTCTGCACCCGACTGTGCAATCTTCATGTCTAAGGTGTTTCTTTTCGTCAGGTTTGACCCTGGGTGGTAGGGGTACAACATCACATTGCTATGCGCGCAGAAATTGGAAAGCTTTAATCTGTGCATCAGAAATCCTTAACTTTGCAAGCTGGTGTCTGTGTCAAAGCCCTCAATCCCCATAAACTCAAGTTGATTTGGAAGCTCTTCTGTGATCTGCTCTGCTATCCAATGAATCCTGCACACAAATCATCACAAAACCTGCCATGCTGAAGAATATACATCAGCCATTCGTGATATACCCTAGAATATCTTTTCACTTTAAGCTGTACTCAATGCTCTCAAATTCGTGCCTTTTACACTGTTACCCTCATCCCCGTTCGTATTCCTCACTCCACTCCACGCTCCCAACTTTACAGCCCAGCCCCATATTCTATCTATGCAACATCTACTTGTCTGTGCCTGACATGGTAGGGGCAAAGTACTTTAAGAGCAAGGTAGCGTGCAATGAGGACGAACAGGAGGAAGTAGCACATGCCCGAGTTACACTATCCTCCCGGCAACTCTTTCTACCCTGCTACTGAAACATGGCTTCTTTCTCTGCGCACTCCTCCATGCTCCATCCTCACTAGTACCTCACGTCATCATTGACACCACCCCAAAAGCCCTCGGTTTCCACCAACAGACCCGGCACCGTGACAGTCGGACGAGGCTCCGTCTCACCGGCGCCAAACCGGGCTGCCAGGAGGGTCAAGCTTCGTGCACCGCTCCGGGACGCGTCCAACGCGACGGAGGAGACCTGCTCCGCCGAGCAGAGCCCGAAGGGGACCACCGCACCCAGAGAGAGGCGTCGATCTCCGCATCGATTGGGCATCGTGCCTGTAATGCCGCCGATGGCCGATGGTTCTCGAGCCAGAATGGATGTCAGGTGAGTTTGACAGGAATGAAGATGGAGGATGAAAGCATCTTCCATATCAATGCCACTCTTGGATTGTACGATTAGAGCAGCAAGGCCTTGATTGAAGGCCTCTGACTGGGTGCATTCTGGGATTCCGCACGGGCCGTTTGAGCGCCACAAAGTCATCCACAAATCTGCGGTCCGAGGGAAGCAATGAGTTTCCTTTCAAAAACCGTTGAGCAAAAAATGGGCCTTTGAGCACTGAACGTGCTGCCATCTAACCTAGAAGTCGAAGACAAGTGGTCAAGCCGGCTACGCCGACGCATTAACTCAGGAAGGGGCTCCGCAACGGAACTTGCAATGCCAAGCGACTGCATGACCTGCGTGGCAAAAGGTTCCAACATCCGACCAAGTCAAATGTTTGACCAGCCTGACCTTGAGAAGAGATGTTGGCAAAGTCAGTTTGGGCTGCTTTTGGGCCCAACCTCGAGATGCAAGGGGCAATGTGCATCTGGCAACGGCAACGGCTTGCTGCAACAGGAAGTAGAAATATATATATATGTGTATATATATATATATAAAGACTCACTCAGGTTTCTCGTCTTCTTTTTTGCAGTGCAGACCTA